GAGGACACCAAATGAAATTAATGGGGAGCAGGTTTAAAACTAATAAAAGAAAGTTCTTCTTCACACAGCGTGTTGTCAACCTGTGGAACTCCTTGCCAGAGGAGGCGGTGAGGGCTAGGACTATAATAGGGTTTAAGGAGAAGCTGGATAAATTCATGGAGGTTAGGTCCATAAAAGGCTATTAGCCAGGGGATAAAATGGTGTCCTTGGCCTCTGTCTGTCAGAGGCTGGGGAGGGATGGCAGGAGACAAATCGCTTGATCATTGTCTTCAGTCCACCCTCTCTGGGGCACCTGGTGCTGGCCACTGTGGGCAGACAGGATACTGGGCTAGATGGACCTTTGGTCTGACCCAGTACGGCCGTTCTTATGTAAAATGGCAAGTGAAATGTAATGTTGATAAAGTAATGCACATTGGAAAACATAATCCCAGCTAGACATACACTGAATGGGGACTAATTTGGCTACAGCTACTCGAGAGAGAGATCTTGGAGTCATCGTGGAGAGTTCTCTGAAAACATCCCCTCGGTGTGCAGCAGCCGTAGTCAGAAAAGCAAACAATGTTGGGAATCATTAAAAAAGGGATGGAGAATAAGACAGAGAATATCTCATTGGCTCTCTGTAAAACCATGGGACGCCCGCAGCTTGAACACTGGGTACAGACGTGGTCATCTCCAAAGAGATCTATTGGCATTGAAGAAGGTTCAGAAAAGGGCAACAGAAATGCTGAGGGGTTTGGAACAGGTCCCGTATGAAGAGAGATTAAAGAGACTGGGACTTTTCAGCTTAGAAAAGAGGAGACTGAGGGGGGATAGGACAGGTCTATACAATCATGAGAGGCGTGGAAAAAGTGAACAAGGAAAGGGTATTTACTTATTCCCACAGTCTAAGAACTAGGGGTCACCAAATAAAAGGAAGAGGCAGCAGGTTTAAAACAAACCAAAGGAAGTTTTTCTTCACTCAGTGCACAGTCAACCTGTGGAACTCCTCGCCGGAGGATGCAATGAAGGCTAGAACTTTAACAGAGTTCAAAACCGAGCTAGATCGATTCCTGGAGGGTAGGTCCATCAATGGCTATTAGCGAGGATGGGTAGGGATGGTGTTCCTGGCCTCTGCCTGTCTGGAGGTGGGTGACATCACGTGAGGATTACCGGCTGTGATCTCTCCCTCTGGGCACCTGGCACTGGCCACTTTGGGCAGACAGGACCCTGGGCTGGATGGCCCTTTGGGCTGACCCAGTATCCCCGTTCTTCTGTACCTGACAGCAAATCCACTCCTCCCAGGCATCCCCTCAGGCCCTGCCCCCGCGCCCCAGGGCTTGTTCCCCCCGCCAGTGGTGGCGCAGTGTCTCTGCCGGTACCTCAGCCCTCTGCCGGGGTCACCGCCTTCTCGCCAGCCCTTCTGGTGTCCCACTTGCCCCGTCTCTGATTCTTTTACCCTCCCCAGCTCTATTCCTCAGCCTGTCTTTGAGGTTCAGCCTTCAGCCGTCTGCACAGCCAGCTCTGCCCCTTTCCCTGGGCACTTCCTGCCTTGCCTCTTCACTTCTCTGGGCTCTCTCTTCCCGGTGCTCATTAGCCTGGGGACGACTCTCCTGCTCCAACTGGCCTTCTGACTCGGGGCCCCCTGCCTCAGGGGGCTGGCTTCGCTCCAGGCTCTGCAGCCCCAGGTTAGCCAGCCTGTTCCAGGCCCGCTGGGGCCTCTCGCAATGGCAGCGAAGCCCAGATGAGCTGTGCTGAGAATTGGCCAAGGAACCGGTGCCGGAGACTATTCGCGGACTGCAGGGGTCCTGGGCCTTGGCAGAGCTTTGGTGCTTAGCCCCCTGCGACCTGCGGCCTGGGGCAGTCTGTGTCGAGCCAGCCCTGCTCGCCGTGCTCGGGAAGCCCCGGGGCAGCGCGACAGGGCACGTGGCTGGCGCTACAGGAAGGAGGACGGGGGGCAGAGGAGGGCCAGAGGAAGCCGGGGGCAGGGGGGTCGTGGCGATTAGGGGAAAGCTGAGCGACAGTGGCACAGGCCCTGGGCCGGGAGCGGCTCCGGAGAGGAGAATGGCCTAACAAGGAGCCGTGGCAGGTGCCTGAAATCAGCCGTGCTCCGGCTGGGATCTACACAGCCGCGCGGAGCCGGCCCGGGGGGCCACGCCTTAAAAAGGGCGCTGGGAAATTGAAAAGAGCCAGGTGCGATCTCCCGAGTGGGAGCCGGGATGCCCATCCCCCACACAGAGGGATGATGGTGGGCTGTTGCGGAGGAGGGACGATGGGCCGGAGGAAGCGGAGGAGGGATGACGGGGTGGAGGGATGAAGGGGCAGAGGGAGCGCGAGGGCGGCGCAGAGGAAGGATGATGGGCTGGAGGAAGCATGTTGTGGGGGGAAGGAGGACGGGGGGCAGAGGAGGGCCAGAGGAAGCCGGGGGCAGGGGGGGCGTGGCGATTAGGGGAAAG